GTAATTGGTATTACGACATGATAATATATCTCATTGTTAACAGTCGATGAGTCAAGAAAAAAAAAAAAAAAAAAATTTTTTTTTTAAAGTTCACCTCTGAAAATTCCCAAAAATTATAATGACATCATGCAAAGATCGTTGATTTTTAAGGCACAAACGCATTATCATTGGAGAACGAAGAGGACACCATCAAGGATAAAATTTAGTGATTATCAATCGTGATTTGATTAAGTTTTTTTTTTTCTCCTTCCCCAAAATTTATTTTTAGAGTGGAAGGAAAATTCTTTTGAAGGTTTACATACAGCATTAAAAAAAACGACATTGATCGAATGTACCACGATACCACCGAGACTTATTTTCTTTGTTCTCACAAAGTTTATTATTGTGTGACCGCAGGAATGCACCAAACAGTGACGGTAATCACGTGATAAATTTAGAAAGAAAATTGATGTCAAAAGCAGCAGAAACATTTTGTGAATAACGTCTGTGTCACTTTGAATAGTTTCATCATAATATTGCAAAAAATGTAACCAAGAAAGTAATATAATTTTATGAAAACTAACAAAGGCAATTCCGTTAGAATGTTCTAAATTGGCTTTTGTTGCCGCCAATAACCTAATAAGTTCATTTGAATGAGAAATTCTCTAAAATTAACATTATTTAAAAATAATGGTTTCAGCCCCTATTTTAGGCTAATTTTACAAAATAATCACATCCGTTAAAATGATCGGTCATCGGTTAGGAGGAAATTGGTGTCTTTGATATCGACCTTTCCTTATATTAAAGAGAATAACAAACAAAATAGGTCATTAAAAGCACCAAGGTATCGATCGTAATTTACCTAATTTTATCAAAATTTTGACATTATTACATTCCATGAACACAGAAAAATGAGAAGCACCAGTCATAGAAGTTGAAATTCAAATTTTTGACCAAAAAAAAAAAATAAAAAAAAATTATCCACTGCAGTAAAATTCAAGTTCTTATCATATTTAACCACCAGATATCTTTGATTCTATTGTTGCCTTTCTATTCATATTAATGTCGTAAGTTCATAAATAATTTATATTTTTTTAAACCACATAAAGAGTACAAAAACTAGAAATAAAACTTAATTCATCACAAATAAAATATATATGATATTGCACTTCGTTTTGAATTTCATAAAAAAGACTTTGTGTTGAAAATTTCGTAGTTAGCTATATAATTTATTTAAGAGCAAAGAAATAATTTGGTGTTGGGACTTGCCTAGGATCCGCGCACTCCCTCCTTTTTTGATAACATCATATATTTCTCTCACTTCACTTCTCTGTAAAGTTTCCAAATGGAAATTATTGTAATAACGTGATATCTTTGGATCATGCTGATATTGATGGACGGATCTTTTTATCAATATTAATTTAAAGCATGATCTTGTGTGGCTGACGCAATAACTATTTTATAAATTTTATAACTGTAATCAACGATGACCTCATATTTACGTGTGAAGGTTTGATAGAAAGTTTGATGAAAATTTGTATTTATAAACAAGAATCATTTTTATTCTCGTTCCTTATATTTTATAAAAATTTTTTTACAAAAAAGCACAAACAATTTAGAGTTCATTTTATTTGATAACTTTACAAAAATAGGTAGAAAATTGCAAAACACTTCGTCTGCTAAAAAACCAACTAAAGTCACTGTACTATGACTTCTTGAAAGCGAAGCAACCTGAAGCTAAACATTAGTGAAATAATTAATAGTCTCACTTTTACTGACAAGGAAAAGACTACCCTACGCTCCTATTTTTATAAAATTCTTAATGGAATAGATAAAGCTTTAAGTTTTCTTGATACTTGCCAAATGCCTGAAGCGAAACTTGAATTTATAAAGGAGACTTTCTTGAAGACCGGTATGTTCTAAAATTACGTGACAACTTTTTTAATATTCGGTGATATTTAACTAACTTGCCATTTTTGGTCTCCTAACCATTTAGATGAACATCAAGGTAAACCTTTGCGTCGTAATAATTGGTCAACACGAACGTGACTCGCTAACCTATCACGTTTTGCGTTGTGTAATATTTGTCATCTAATTTCACAAACTTCTCACATTTTGATACTATCTGCAGTCCATATACTTCTATATACCTCTTCTATCGAAAAAAAGGAAAAGATCTGTCAACATTACCATCAAGCCAGAATACCGTAAAGACGTTTATTTCGTAGTCCCAGCGGATAAGAACTAGAGGTTGGAACCGGTTAAAACGGTTAATGTTAACCGGTTAAAATTGATGAATTTAACTCCGGCCGAAATTCAATTGGCTAGAATTAAGATTTTTATGATTGCAAAATATTGTCTAACTCCGGCCAAATTTATAGTACTGGCCTGAGTTAATTTTAACCGGTTATTAGAATTTTTGGCTGGTTCCAACCTCTAATAAGAACAATAGATTAATCGATCTGGTTCGTTGTGGAGAATATATTATTATATGGTTCGCGCACCTCTGACAAATACACGATCGCTGCGAGCTATGGAACAACCGAACAAATTTGGTTTCGTTTGCATCTAGTAAGTTAGTTTACTTTTTGATCAAGAATTTTCAGATCGCACTAATTGAATATCGAATTTAATGATACAATAAGCTTCTGGAGATCTTTTGGTCGAAGAGTCCGAAAGATGCTCATTCACATCTTTGGAGTTGATTCAGCTGAATATATACCTCTATAGAAAGTGTCGATCAGTTAGGAAGGTTTTTTTGAAAATGAGTAACCTTTGTACCCATGCGTTGACACTTGTCCGGACCTTTGGGGTGCGACGAACTGCTTATACCAATATTTCACAATGTTACTAAATAATCAAAAGGATGTTTCGTCTGAAAAAAGAGTGCGATTCCAGTCATCATTTATATGGTTTTGGGCTCATTCTGCTTATGTAACCTTGTAAACATCAGTGTTAGGATCTGACTCGACAAGCCCTTATCGATGAATTCGATATATATACTATAGCGTAATATATATAAGGATTGTACAAGAAAAACTAAAATAAATCGTAAGTATTGCACAAAAAGATGTAATAACGAAGGAAAAATTTGTATGCATTTAGGATCATGCAAATAAAAATTTAATTATTTTTGTAAAATATAACATATTCCTACTAAAAATATGAAAATAAAAAAAAAGCTTCTAAGATCACATAAATATGAAAATATAAAAGAAACTCCCATGATCAGTATTTTAATTTTTTTTATAAATTAAACTTTACGCCACTATTGTATCAATTGGGATCATCAATGATCATCATTATCACCGATACTGTTATCTAAACTAGAGAACGGGTACGTTGTTAAGTTCAGAACTTTTATCTAGACTTTTATGCAATTGCAAGTATTGAGCGGGCGGACAATAGGACACTTTGTGTAATCTTAAACCTGTACATATATAGTCCTCCTTCATTCCGGACTAACTAGAGCAACATCTATTTCGTCAATATCTGAAAGTTCGCTCATTTTTTATTACTTTTATTAATTATTCTTTAGAATAAATTTATTTTTTAAGAAATTATAAAGAAAAATAGATTTAAAGAATTTCAAATTTATGTGTCTGCAGTATTATATTTTTCACGTCTATAATGTATTTCTAAACCCAAACAATCATCGTCATATTATAAAATGTAATCATGCTGATCATACATACTAAATTTGGCAATTATACTATATAACCTTTATATTGTATATTATCGTACTTACTCACCTACATGATGTAGACGCCAAAAAACTTTTTCTAACGAGCATTTAGATTAGTTATACTTTTTCACTTTTCGCGATATCAATTCAACTGTGCGGAATACAGAATTAATTAAATTTTTATCAGCTGTAATTTTGAAATTAGTTTTTTAATTCTTGCGGTTAATTTTGAATATCATTTGTAGTGATTGACAAAAGGAATCTTTTTATAAGTTATTGTGCTTGCTTTAATAAATAATCAAAATTATTTATTAACGCAAGCACAATAACGATATTGTCGTGTGATTTTATGATGTTGACTTAAAATTATGAAGAGAAGTTCATTATCATTCTCTTTTTCGTCATTTTTACTGAATTCTTTTAAAAAAAAATTGAGGAACCACTTTAAAACCACGAAAAAGGTAAACTATTTGCTTTCTTATAATAAGCATATAATTAAACAAATCTTTATTTTAGGCGAATTATACTTTTGAATAACCTACTATAAAGAAAATCTTAACGAACTTATTAATATATTTATAGAAGACGAATCGTTTTATTCAATAAAAAAGCAACTATTTTATGCTAACAAACTATAATGCATTTACGATTATTTTTTGAAAAATATAGATGAAAATACAACCAATAATACTGCAACAATAAAAAAAAGATCCTTTTAGTCAACCACTATAGATACTAAATGATATTCAAATTAACCGCAAGGATTAAAAAACTAATTTTAAAAATTACAGTTGATATAATTCTATACTGCATAATGAATTGATATCGCGAAAAAAGAATAATTTATCTAACTACTCGCTAGATAAAGTTTTTTTGGGATATTTATTAATTATATTAATTAACCCCTTTAGAAAAACACAGACAAGCCTGGGGTAAAAATTATAAAAGTTTTTATTTTTAGCTTCTAATTCGATGATCAAAATTTAAAATATAGGCGATGGATTTCTTTGAAAACTTTTAAACACAATATTTCATAATTACTATATTACAATTTTATTATTTTATTTAAAAATAGAAACAGATTAATAAAAGTATTAAAAAAAAAGTATTATTTACATTTTATTTATTAGTATAGCTAATTTTCATATAAACTCCGTGATATCACTAAAAATATTAAAAAACAAGATCGTCTACATCATACTGGTGAGCACGATAATTATAAGTTATTTGTGCTTGCGTTGATAAGTATAGTCCAATTCTGATCGTCATTACAATAATTTTGATATTAATTATAACTATAAACCTTTAATCCTTTCTCTAATATTATCGTCTTTCTCTATTTTAACTCAATTAATTGTTTCCTTATCTTAAAATCATTGAATAAAAAGTAAATTAATTTCTTTAGAAGAAATTCATTAAATAACAAATAATTACATAAAATTTTGGAACCAACCTTCCAATAATCTCTTCAATTTCTGACTTCCAAGATTTAGAACCACTCTAAATTAAAAAAAATTATTAAAAATGAATGTCACTATGATCAAATATTTAATTAAAAATAAATTTACTTTGATGTTCTTTTTAAGATTTTTAAATTTATATTCACATTGCATATCAGTAAATTCGTATTTATTTTTGTGTAACATTTGGGAAGCACCCATCCAGAGGGGTTTTTTAACACTTTTAGCGATAGAGCCACGCCTTTGTAAACTTCGAACCTTTTCCTTACTTTCTTTCAAATATTCAAGCAACAATTTTGTTGGCTCTATCCCCCATTTAATTTTTGAGGTCTCGTCAAATATATCATTGCCGATTTCATCATAATAGGAAATAATTTCTGAGGGAACTTTAGTTACACTGCCACTGTTCTATATGATGTGAAATTTGTAAGAATAATAAATATTTATTCATAAAGTTATAATACACATTACCTGAGATAAATGATCACTATCAAATTTAACATAATCATTTATGAAAGGGCGTCCAATTGTATTTTGAATACTATCAAATTTATCAATTTCTTCAAATTTCTTATTCAAATTTTCTTTAGTTAAAATATACCCAAATAAGTCCAAATCACACTCTTTTTCGTGATTATCAATCCTTAAACTTCCATAATCAGAATGAAGTATACAAATATGTAGTACTATATTAGCAGAATGCTCAATATTTGTTAAAGAATTGATATTTTCACCATGTTGAACTTCGGAACTATCCAAACTCGACTCATTATAAGTTGATTTGATTATTTGAAAATTAATAGCTTCATCTTCCCATTCAACTAACTTGAAAATACTATGCGGCTCATAATTTGTTGATGGGTAGTATGCATCAATGAGAATGATATTTCCTTTGGATAAAGGAAGCGTTTTTATGTAATAGAATGAATCATCAACGTTTAATGCAATAGATCTTTCGATGAAATCAACTTGAATATCTCGATTATTTGGACTAAAAACTGACAATTTCGAAGGATTTCCAACAATCATCCACAATATGTGACAAGTTCTGATATCGACCTTCGATCTTTTTAAAGGTTTTATCATTACAGAAAATCCATTAACATCGAACAACCTAAATCTTGCAAGAAAATCTTCAGACTTTAAATTATCATTTGTTATAATTGATCCAAATACTTCGTAATTTTCATTTTCCAATGATAATTCTATATTTATTCGCTTATAATGTTCGATATTATCTATATCCAAATCTTTCAAATCGTTTATTCCGGTCAATATAACTTTCAAGTTATTATTTAAGATCAAATCTATATTTTTCTTTTGTTCTGCTTCGAGAACATCATACAAAGAAATAACCTCATCATATTCAATAATTTCTAAATCATTATTTGTTTTTTTAAACCAATCATCTTCTTCAACGACTTCGCCTTTTTGTGTTGTGAGGTATGTAATATTTAAATTATTCAAATATGATTGTAAGGATAAGATTGGTAATTTTAAATTAATCTTTTCAATACCAAAAATCTCTGTGGTTAAAATATTTTTAAGAGATTTTCCTAAGATAATTCTTAATGGGAATAAATGCCCATATACATTAAACACATCTTGCAAAGCATTAAATGGTTTCATACTTTTTAGTGCTTCTTCTATAGCATTCTTAAATACTTCCGAAGGTTTTATATGATACCTACTTATTAATATCTCGTATTGTTCATATTTCACTACTAAATGAATATTTTCTTTATCATTAAAATCATCATTTATAATAAATGGAAAGTTTCTAAAATTTTTAATTGAGAAAATATTATTGGATATTAAAATTTCCTCCAATTTTGTCGTAGGATTTATTAGTTCAAAATAAGATTCATCTCTTGAATTTATTGTGGGAACTTCAATAAAATTAATGGCAAATTTCTTGCTACTTTCTACTTCATTTGATTTGTTAATTGCAAGACCTAGAAATAGGTGAAAATCTTTGATCCATTTTGCTAACTTAACATATGCCTCATTTCCAACCCACATTTCCAACCCTAACTTTTCTTTAAAATTAGCAATTCCAGGATGTTTATCTGATGATATTTCACCTTTTATAGAAACAAGATCTTCATAAGAAATAATATTTATTATGTTATCCTGATATAATTTTCTTAGCCAATTTGATAATTTTTGAAGTGTGTCTAACGCCACACCTTTTGAAGTTTCTATTCTTGGTAAAATACTCAAGTCAAAAGAATTATTATCGAACGGAGTTTCGTTATTATTTTTAGCCAAATTATATGCCCAAATTATATAAAATTTCAAAATTTCTCTTTGTGACGGTGCCGCTAAGCTGAAATTTTTAATATGTAACTGTCCACCAGCTAAAATTTTTTTTGCAATAAAATGGCCATATAATTCGTGTAATACTTCATCATCCGTAAATTTTGAAAAAAATTCTAATTGATCGGCTTTATAAGTGATTTCAATGACCGGGAAATTAATGCACACATCCGAATAAATCCCACAGTTATGATTCTCTATAGTGAGTGGGCTTGTAGAACAATCAGGATTGTTTGTATTAATAAAAACTATAGGCATCCCTTTATACAAATTTATATCCAAATCACCATCATCAACCAAAACAGCCTTTTTACTTGGTTGAATGCTAGCTCCATCGCAAAATAAACCATAATTCAATTTCCATTGTTGTATGATTTTCTGTTCAGTTAGCGAATCAACATCTTTTTTGCCAGCGTCAACTAATTAGAATTTTAAGACAATAATTAGAGATAGTTAATATGTATTTAGTCATAAAACATTAAACTTACCAATATTCTTTTTTTCATAATCCAAAAGTAAATCGTCAGATAGCTTTTCCAATCTTTTTATGGCTTTATCATAACCATTATCAGCAGATTTTGTGTACCATAGTATTGCTTTATCAAAATTTTTTATTGTGCCAATACCATCTTCAAAACAAACAGCGATATTATATTGAGCAATATTATTTTTCATATTTGCGGCTTGTAAAAACAAGTTAAAACCTTTCTTTGTATCAATGGAAGTTCCAATACCTTTTAAATAGCAATAACCCAACATATTTATACCAAAAGGATATTCACCCTTTGCACTTAGGCTATAATAATAAAAGGCTAGATCTGAATTTCTTTTAACATAAATTCCTAGTGAATAAAAATTTCCAGTATAATATTGTGCAATTACGTGTCCATGATTAGCTGCATCAATATAATAAAAAGAAGCCATTTCTTCATCTTTTTTAATTCCAGTACCTTTTTCATAACAAACACCTAATGCGAATTTACTAAATGTACATTGACCTGTTATAACGCTCTCTTCATACGATGAAAATGATGACCGTTTATCAATTGCTGTACCATACCCAAATTCATAACAAATTCCTAAATAATATTGAGAAATAGGATGCTTTTCGGAAGAAGCTTGATGAAAATAATTGAATGCTTTATTAAAATCCAAATTAGTACCGAATCCTGAATAATTCAAATATCCCATAAAAAATACGTAGTCCAAATTTGTCATTTTATTTTCACACAACCATAAATAAACTTTTTCAATAGCGACGTTGTGTGATGATAAAAAACTATCTAGAATTGAAGGAAGTTGCTCACGAGATTTTCCTTCATTCGTTGCCTTTATCAATAGCGCTAGTAATCCCGCTATGATACTTTTCATATCTGCTTTATAATCGATAGGAGCAGTAACTACTTTTATATCATTATCAAACTTTCTAGAAATGAACGATTTCTTTGACCTGCCTAAGGTATCATCAGATATTTCGATTGAACTCTTCTGATCAAATATTCGAGTAACTGGAGACAATTTTCCACGTGATGAATTATCTGTTTTCGTAATCATTGCTTTTAATTTATTAACTACTTGATATATTGCTAGGCGATTATCCGGCTCACTTTCCCAGCATTCTAAATAGCATAAATAAAAATAAACATAAATAAATAAACTCATGTATTTTTATATAAAATAGTTAAATTTAAATATTAGATTTACCGGAATAAATTTTTACATAATCTTCAGGTGTACCGGGAATGATTTTCTCTCTAAGTCCTTGAATAATATCTAAAAATAAACTGAAGCCATAACTTTCACCTTCAAAAGGAGGAAGACAACTTGATATCTCCCATAACAGCACACCAACACTGTAAACGTCACTTTTTTCATTTAGCGTATATTGTTGCGATGATAGGTCATTTTTTCTCCGTCCAACCAATATATTTGGATCAATATAAGGAATTACATCATCATGAAAACAAATTGATTTTTGTTTAGTTGCAGCTTCAATTCTTTTCGATAAACCGCAGTCAGCTAGTTTAATGACGCCTTGATGAATTAATATCTTTTTGAAGTGCTATGGATTTTATAAAGAAAATTAATACATTAACAACATCTTTGATTAAAGCGCAATAAAATTATATATATTATATACCAAGTCACGATGAACGATTCCCACTTCATGTAAACATGATACGGCACTAGCCAATTGAAATGCCAATTTATATTTATCATCCCAAGTAAGTTTATCAAAGTTTTCCCTCAAATAATTTCGAAGATTACCTCCATCAGCATATTCCATTACTAACAAATAATTTCTCAATCGATCACTTGTATTTTCTAAATTATTTAATTGTAAAAAAAGTCATTGTCTTTTCAAGCAATCAATTTTATAAATAAAATATTTAAATATTTATCATACCTTGTTCGGAAATTGTAATACCATAAAAATGAACAATGTTATCATGAATGATATCACGGTGAAATCTCAACTAAAATCATAAAAAATGTTAAAATAAGAAATGGAAAGTATAAATTGCGAAGGTTAAAATTTATAATTACCTCCGCAACGATTTCTTTAGCTATGACGTCGTCAAATTTATGAAAATATTTCAATGCAAAATTATGAGTATTTGTCCAAGTTGCACGATAAATCCTTCCGAAACCTCCAGAATAGATTTCTTGAACGTTTCTAAAATCGTTATATTCATAAATTTTAATGATCTTTTCAAAAATAGCTTTTTCAATTATTTTATTATTCATTTTTAAAATAAGAAAGGGAGTGAGATCGTCTTATTGTGTGAAACTAGCATTTTTTCAGATGCATATTTATATTTATGTGCCCAAATTATAAGTTGGCTGAATGATCAATGGTCACAAATAAAGTGATTGTGTGATTGTATGTTACACCAAGCAAATTTAAATATATATATATATTTTTTTTCTTCCAAATGGGAGTTTTTCATAAAAAATGAATTTTGTTTCTTTAAGTTTCAGAAAATTTTTTAATGTTGACATATTCGTCCAAATAGGCGATCCCCCATCACAACTACCTAAAAAATTCACATTAAATAGAAATGATAATTTATCAAACATTCGTGAAATACTCGAAAAAGAAAATGTAATGAGCGATACATTATTATTTGCGCAAAAAAACAATGGATTATTGGCCGAAATACGAAAAAATGGAGAAGAAGATTGTAAATTATATAATATTTTAAATGATAATATTTTATATTTGGTGAATAATTCAAATCCTGATTGGAAATTTTTAAACAAATTGCGTAAATTAGATTATGGACGTACTATAACTTTTAATGGAATTAAAATATCTAAAAAGAGAGCATTTGAAATGAAGGGATGTAAAGTTACTGAACTTGGGGCAGAGAAAAGTAAAAATGGTAAAGATGAATTTAAATCGGAAAAAGAATGGATGATGAAAACAAATTTATTTTTTACCAGCGATATTAATGTAGAGAATTTAGTAAAGTTGAGAATAACTGTTGAAAAATCACGTAATAAAACTTTTAAACTTGAAACTAATTCATCTTATCATTTCAAGGAATTTGGTAAAGCGTCTTTGGAATTCAGTGAGTGTTTAGAACCAACAAAGGAATTTATTGATGCGGTGAATAATGCTATACAAACCGGTGATGCCGAGGATTTTAAGCAAATTATTGAGGAATATGGTCAATTCATTCCAACTGAAGTTATTTTGGGTGGAAGAGCTTACTACGAGGGGCAGAATATTCGAAAGGAATATTCTGAAGAAAATTCTAGAAACGGTTCTGTAAATATAGGTGCTGGACCTTTAGATATAAAATCAGGAAATGGTTCCATAATTTCAAAAGGAATATTAAATTCCTCTAAACATGAGTGTTCAAAATTTATTGGAGGTGAATGTAATGAAAATTTTGATGAAAAAGCTTGGGCTAAATCCTTAGAGGATTTTCGACATTGGGATTGCATAGAATTTAAAAACCCAATTAGTATCTTTCAACCTTTACCTGAGGATTTACGTAAAAAAATAATTTTATCGTTAGGAAAACGTATTCATTATTCAATAATTGAGAACGCTGAATGTAAATTTGTGGAATTGGGAGAACCGTTTAAATATGAATTACGCATACCATCTCCTATTTCAAATATTATTCGCAACAAAGATACTGATTGTAACTTTTTTGCAACAGTTATTGATGCAGAGGATAATACTTTTAACTGTCAAATGCTTTGTCCGCCGAAAGCAAAACCAATTCTTCTAATACATTGTATCCAAGAAAAGGTTAAACAACAGAAATGCAAATTGAAAATTGGATGGATGGTTATTGGTTATTATAAAGATTTGAATTTTATTCTTTCGGATTTTGATGATATGCAATTAAATATCATTAAAAAAGATCTTACTGCAACATCAAATAAGCATTATAGAGAATTCTTAGATTTTGAATATAATTCAATTAGCAACATAGTTCCTTGTATTGGAATTCCTGTATTAAAGACATTGGATTTATCAAAAATTTCTCATGTCATTGGACATCGCTTTTTCAATGTTCAGGAAGAAAATAAAATTGGATCATATACATTTTCTTATAGTTTGAAGGATCATAATTGCGTCAAATTACCCGAATTTACTTTTTATACACTCATCATTTCAAATTATTATGATCGTAAAGCCTATGGCATATCCCCTTGCAAACGTGGTAATGGTAAAAGAATAAAA